GGAAGACACAAATTTGGGGTTGCTTTGGTTTTAGGGTTTTTTTAATGATTCTAAAGATATAAATAAGTCCAAATTAATTTGAAGGCTGGACTAGATGATCTCCAGAGGTCCCTTCCAACCCTAACAATTCTGTGAATCTGAATTGACTTTCAGAGTTATAACCTTTAACAACACAAGTACAGTAAAAACCCAATGCTGTGAATGGTATCAGAGGCTAACTGGGATCATGGACTTTTCCAAACTGTCTTTTCATATATTCACAAAAAATCATTTGAAGTTGCAGAAGCCTCTAAGACATCAAACTTCCCTTCCTTTCTTTCCTTATTTCTACTAGAACAAATGACTTTATTCTATCTTACAGGTTTTCATCTCATAAATCTCTGTTTGATGTTGAACTTCACAGTTCTCTCCTTTAAGGTGATTCTGCACATGCATAGCTTATTCACAAAAATAATCCCAGGACATCTACACTGTATCAGAGCAAATTGTACATGTTTATTACAAGATTGCGGCCATGTAAAAGAAGAAAAATGTAGTCATCTAAATATAGCCCAAGAGGAACAGAATTAAACAAAAAGCCCGATGTGCCTAACACCTTTGTCAGAGGAAAGAAATTAAGCGTAGGTCCTAGGTCAGGCTCACATCACTATTTCGGAAAGAAGTAAGAATACATCCAACATCACAAATAGATTACATTTCTAGGATTTACTAGCATGCTCCACTGTAATTCAGCTGTAACTTCACCAATACATCACTGACGTAAGCCCAAAGGCAGAGTTGAATCACAATTCATTCATAATGCCTTATTTAGAATGACAATATAAAATGTTAGAGGGGCAAAATTCCTTCTCATTTGCAGAATTAGGTGTTTTGGAGTACATCTGGTCAGAGAAGCTTTGAATAACTTCAGCACGGTGCCCTGATACACTAAAGGTGATCTTCAGAACGGGTTACACAGTCTATTTCAAGTCAGCCACTTTCTGTTCAACTAATATTCAGCTCATCACAAGATAATGTTCATTTATCCATAACAGCAAAAGATACTCTGCAAATGCAGCTTCCAGCTCTTTGCAATGTCTCAGTTTCACTCTGCTTTGCTTCACATGTATCTACACATAAGACATTCTCTGTAAGAACATACTCAAGGAATGAGGAGACTGACCTTCCCACTAGTGGAACAAGCTACAAGAACAGAACTTGTCTGCAACCATACTCTGCACTCTGTACATGCCCAAAAACAGGTATTATGTACTTGCAAAATACACTTTTATTCCAACTTACCTTTGAATGGTATTCTAAAGCATCCAATTCACCTTGGTTGAATACACATTTCCTTTTACGTTTCTGCAGAATTAACAAACAATGAAAAAAATCCATACTACTCTGGGGGGGGGGAATTATCGAACGTATCGCGATTACAAATTAACTCTTTTAAAAGCAAAAGAAACTTTCCATCTCTTTCTTTTTTTATCACAAGTCAAATAAGCAAAAAGACCTCAACGCCCAGGCTGCTGCAGGCATTCTAAACGTACATAGGCTTAAAGCTGTGTTATGTCACTCACGGCCCTGGGATTTAAAGGTACCTAGTGCATGCCACAGTTTATGCTCATGTCTCATACGGGCCCATACTAGAAGTTTCAGCTGTGAAGTGCAATTTACAATGAAAGAATAAAATTGCCCACATCTTTACAATCACATTTGTTGGTTTAAACCTGAGACTCTTGTTTTCTGTCGTCCATAAGGAACAGTACTGAACGACATTGTAAGTAAATTCACACTGTCCTTCCCAATTTACTAATCCACAAAATCTTGACAGCTACCACAGTCTGAGCAAAAGTGCCTGACGACAACCAATGTCAGAAGATTTGGTGAGCAATCCACTGCTTTAGAGTCACAGAACACACGTTACTGACATAAGGGAGACAAGAACATCTTCATAAGTGCTTACATCTTCAGTACATATTGAAATTTATTGTGGAAATGTTCCTGCTCTTCTACGACTCAAGCATGCAAAACATGAGTAGTATATTATTTATCAAGAGATTACTGTGGTTTACTGTACTACAGAGAACATACCTTCCTAGCACTGGCAACAGAATCTCCAACGCTATTCTTTGTTCTTTCTTGGTGTTCCTCTCTGTTGCTGTTGGCCTTCATTTCTGTCAGACTCACCTCAGGACATCCCTGACACAGCTGCTCCTCAGGAGCTGCTGCTATATGAGGCTTAGAAATGTCAAAGAACTCCTCCCGAAATGCATATCTCAGTTTTGCTGCTTTACCTTCTGTTTCTATGACGTGTCCAGGACTATGAGTAGGACCATCGCTTGATGAGGAGGAGGTGGCAGAAAAGGGAGAAGTAGCATGAGAGTCTTCAGTAGATGTGACAGAAGTATTATGAGTGACACCACCAGGGCAAGCAGAGGAGCCACAAATCTCATAGCCACACTGGTTGATGAAAGAGAGATGATCCACGAGCCATCCTGCTGCCAGGCGATGTACCACCGACATCATAACTTCCCTTTTCAGGAAGAAAAATCAACTCCTTGAAACCGTAGACAGCAATCACAAGTGCTTCCTGGAGAAAACTCCTCCTGCGGGAAGTTTTATAAGAATTCACTTTTCAGAATCAGCACTGTTCCGTAACATGATGATTACATGTTACCTACCTACCTTCTTACAGACATTTCCACACACACACAGGTCACATGCTGAACCTTACGTGGACTCATAGAACCACAGAGTCAACCAGGCTGGAAGAGATCTCAAGGATCATAGAGTCCAACCGTACTGTGGTTACTGGACCATGGCACTAAGTGCCACATCCAGTCTCATCTTGAAAACCTCCAGGGATGGTGAATCCACCACCTCCCCAGGCAGCCCATTCCAATGCTAGATTACTCTTTTCCTAAAAAATCTCTTCCTAATATCCAACCTAAACCTCCCCGGGCAGAGCTTGAGTCTGTGCCCTCTAGTCCTACTACTGGCTGCCTGGGAGACCAACCCACTCCTGACTACAACCTCCTTTCAGGCAGTTGCAGAGAGTGATAGGGTCATGCTCATCCCTATTTCTCTTTCATCCCTGTATCACTTTCTCCTCATAGTTAAGTAAGCTTTATATAAATTTTTATAGTAAATACATCCTACATGAAAGTATAAGACGACTCCTTTTAACAAGTTAGAAAACACCACTACGGCACAGCGATTGATCCCACGACTGCCAGCGCCCGGGAGCAGTGACACAGGGGCAGGGACGGCCGCGGCCCCAGCGCTGCCGAGAGCAGGCACCGACTCCTGTCCCCGCGGGGGCACACAGCGCCTGGGCGACCTGCAGTCCCCC